TTCTTCTCTCTCAGTAGCCTAGAAACGAAAAATCACTAGGATGACTGTATTGTTGCTTCTTGTGCTTCTTCCTGTAGCTTGCTGGCTGCTTACAAGTATTTTTTTGATTAGGGATTTACGCTTATTCCTCTGATTGATTTTAAAATGAAAATATGAATGTCACACTGGAATATACCTCAAATAGAAATCCACTAACATATGCAGTCCAGACACTTGCTGACAGAGCAAGCATTTTCCCCACATATCCTTTTTTTTATAATGCCCTAGGGCCACAGCTGTGATGCTGTGATTTTTGCATGTATGGAGCTGAGAGATCGTCTTTACAGTCCTTGGGAGAGATGCTGCTCAGTGATGTCTGTTTCAAGCTGGGCTACCAAAGCAAGGAAAGCTTTTTATAGAAAAATGGCCCGCATTTATTGCCAGTTGATGCTTATGTGGGGAGAAAGCTCTGTTTGATACATAAACATATATGTGTAAATGCATGAAGATTATTACCTGCCAGGAGGCAGGTTCATTTATAGGATGATGCCTTCCAAGTCACCCGTGTTTCAATTTTTTTATGAGGACATTTTTTTGTGTGTTTATCAGTGTTATCCTTGTAGCGAGAAGAGTTCAACAAACACATTTCTGAAAGGAAGACATTTTAATTAAAGACACATAGTTTCCAGTCCAGATATTTGCAGCCATGGACAGTTTCTCCACATGAACCCTAGAGTGGGCTGAATCAGCTTGATTGGAGACAAAGATAAAGCAGCTTCCGTGGCCATGGGTGTACCAGGATATCCATTGTCCTTATGAGAATAAATATTTTCATTCTATTTCATAATGAAAAGATTCACATCGAGGGTTGAACTGACATGGGTTGAGCACAGCTAGCTGTTGTTCTCAAATAGAGTCATGGTGCCAAGGGCGTCAGAAGAAGAAGAGATTCAAATTAGCTTGTCAGACAAAAGATTCTGCAAATGTATTCTCCCCAGTCCATATAGCCAGTGTGTGTAGTCAGTCCACCAGGGCTCTCACCTTCGCCTACCAGCCTGACTAATATTGCACTAAACCTTTAGGCCAATCCTTGTGGGTGGTGGGACCACATGTCCACTACCAAATGTTGTATTGAGCTAAGTCTGACTGGACTTCATGGTTGTTGGCCTATGAGCCTTGCTCGAGGAGGGGGTGGGCAAACTCCGATGGGAGGAGTTTGGTGAGGCCATAGAGGAAGACATTCAGTTGCCCTCAAAGATGTTCTATAAGACTACCAAATGGGTCAGGAAGCAGTGGTAGAGAAGTGCTGACCTGACAGTGTGGAGGAAGGAGAACTTTGAGGATGCCATGAGTCCAACTGCGACTGAAACAACAAGAATTCTCTGGATAAGGAGACATTTGAGAAGTGCTGGGAGTAATAATACTTCTAACACAAACTGAAATGAAACAGTCATAGTGGGTTGGGCATCTGACAAGGATGCCTCCAAGGCACATCTAACTAGGAGGAGACCCTGGGACAGACCTAGAACACAATAAAGGAATAACATAGCCTATGTGACCTGCGAACTCCTCACGATCCCCCAGGAGGAGCTGGAGGACGTGGCTGAGGAGAGGGGTGTTTGTGCTATATCTTGCTGCTGTTGTTGCAACCTGGAGCCAGATCAATTTGCCACATTACACATTTTCTGCAGGCAATCCACAAACCTGTCTCAATCTGCTGTGTGCCTTTTTCAAACTGCTCTTTTTGGATGTCACGTTTCAAACACTATAGGCAGCAAAGGTCCACCTTGTACCCTTCAGAGAATTGGAGCTGCATCTTAATTTTGCCCTCCTTCTAATAAGGGTCAGCATTGTCTCAGTTTTCTGGATTCCCAGTGGCCCCTTCCGATCGCTCTCTCCCTCTGCTTTGTTCTTCGGGACCTACTGCAGTGTCTGTCGAGTGTTGAGAGGATACAATGCCAACATGCCCAAATAATGCACAGCACTGTTCTCAAACAACCACTTCACTACATTCAAGATATTTTACAAGGTTCACAGTTTTTCATGCTGTACTGGTGTCCGTTGTCTATCTTGGCAATGTACCTGTGCTTTTTATACATTTTTTGTCTTTTGTTGAGATAGTTATGTAGCCATCTCCTCTATCATTTATGTCTTTTATATTATTTCATTGTCTGGTTGTAGCATTGTTTGTATCATATGCGATCTTTTATGTAGATGAATAAAACTAGAATGTCTCTTTGTTCCTTGAATACACCATAAAGATTGGATTAGATTAGATGAAACTTTAATGAACCCCGGGGGGAAAGTGGGTCATGGCAGCTGTAGAAAAGAAGACATACTGTAGGTAAGAGAAAACAGAAACATCTGCTGAATACACCAGAGGAAAATAATACAACAGGATATATGAAATTATGGTGGTTATAGTGATTATAGCTTACTGAATAATGAATACACTGACAATCATGTAACAAGCAATAGAGAGTCCTTCATTTGAAGGTGAGCGCATGATTGCAGTTTATAGATTTACAGCACAAATGCAATGTGTGCAAAATGTGCAAGAGGAAAGTAAGCAAGCAGAAATATGTCGAGATATGCAAATGAGTAATGTAAATTATTCATATACTTATAATTTTACAGTTAGAGGTAACATATTTATAGATGCACCTAAACCCAAAAAATCAGTTACATAAGAAAATGTTCACCTATTACCATTCAAACCCGCACTTCTTTGCTGCTCTGAAAGCATGCTCTGTGCTCCCTTTTCTGCAGGACTGGGGATATCATGCAGAAATGGTCTGGTTGTCAGATACCCCTGGGTGTTCTTGAGGTGAGGGAGTCCCAGGCAAAGAAGAAGTGGCTTAGTTTCAGGTTATCAGTTCATTAGGTGAATTTACACTGAGCCCCCTTTCCACTAATCATCACAGTAATATCTGTCAGTATCCCACATGGAATTACCTTATCTATGATTAATTTCACATATAAATATACCCCATGTGAATGCTGTTATTTATCAGAGGTAGGCGGATATAAATTAAATTATTTTCCCATGGTATATTTTGCTCTCAGCAATGTCTATTGTTCATTGTCAGTATCTAACAAGAAAAAATGTTTTGTAATTGTATCTGTCCTGAAGTATATCCCATTTAATAGGGATTACCTGCTGGGACCTCCACAGACCTCCTAATGCAGAATAACCCACATACTTCTGTGTCCCTGGATCTATGTTGTCCTGAATATGTAATACTCAGGTTGTGTACTGGACTTAACCTGGCCCTGGTAAACTCTGCACCAACCAATAAATATGATTAATATATATGATTAGTGCCAATGCAGGGTTTTCTGCGATGAGAAGGCAGCCTGAGAGGAACAACGCCCTGCAAGACCTGAATCAGGGGAAAGGAGTCCCGTGGTAATTTCAGGTTCCTTCCACTTTCCCGTGATGCACTGCGCGATTGTAATGTGTGGCAGTTATGTTGAATAAATCATTTAATTCATAGTAAGTTCATAAACATACGTCTATGTGGTCGGCGTTTATAATGCAACCGACGTGTAGTTTGAGCATTAAAAGTTGGTTAGCAAAAATAGCCCAAGCGGAGGACCGTTGTAACCGGTAACTAAGGCAACGACGAATGACGTAGCTCGCGGGAGAATAAACGTTAAAAGCGCAACTAAACAATGTCGGTCTGTTTTCCTGTTTAGTTCACGAGTCCCAGTGATAACGTCAGGGTTTGAACATGGAGAGACACAACCTGGGAAGAGAAAGGCTCATAGTACCAACTGACTTTACTTCGCCAGCGGTCTCCAGTAAGTTGCAGGTTCTAGCTGCATGTTTCGTTTTGTTGACACTAGCTCGTAACTTCAAGTTAGCCAGCTAAGGTTAGCCTACAATGTAACACAACTGAGCTATTCTGCATTTGTCAGCTCTAGCGTTAACTAATACATTCAAAAGAATAACAGGTATTCATGTTGGTAACTTCAGTGTGAAGAGGCTCTCTTTTGGCAACATTACAAACATTAATTGACACAGGGCTGCACATGACAAGACTAACTAACTAACTAACGCATGCGCACACTAAAACATTATTTTATGTTATTTAGGGAATATCCAGAAAGATCTGGTACCCCCATCGCATTTTGCATCGAGTGTCCAGTCCGCTGGAGCACACAGAGGCGTTCAGGTCCCAGGGACAGCGCCACCCATCTCCTGGATGAACCCAGGCCTAACATCAGTACCATCAGAGGACCCCAGTCCTACCAATCCATGGCTCGCCATCAGTCACGCTCAACAGGAAATCTTGGAGCTGAGGAAGGAAAATCAGAGGATCATGATGTTACAAGGAGATAGCACAAGAGGAAGGATCCCTGTTGATCATCCATCAGACCTCAGGGCAAGGTATCCCACAATGTGTTTTATGTAGTCAGAAATGCAGCTATTGTCTGACATTTGGGTGACATATTGCATACATGAATAGCTCTTTTCCTCAAACACAGATTTGCGGAGAGAAGTGAACAGTGGTCCAGATGGGAGTCAGAGTGGCGTCTAGAGGCAGAGAAGCACAAGGCAGAAGCTGAGAGGTTGAAGGGGCAAGTGGAGGCCCTGAAGGAGACTGCAGAGAGACACAGGGAAGAGATGAGAGACAGAGACAGCAGCCTGAACCGGTAGGAGATATACGCTTATGTTGTTATGTAATTGAGTCATTCTACAGTTGGGTCTGACATTCTCTACATAACCAAACATTTCAGAGATAAGCGATGAATCATTTTGAACCAGCTTAACATGGCCTAATCTTTGTACCACAGACAGAGCCATGAGTTGGAAGCAATGCGTGAGGAGCTATATAAGACTAAGACTGAACTCAGACAAATCAAAGAGGAGCTTATTCACAGCAGTGCACAGAAGGAGAAAATAAGCTCTCAGGTAATGCTGTTTACTGACAAAACATTTCATTTCGACACTGGTGTTGACGAAGATCACCTGAGAATTACTGCCACCTTGTAACTTATTTTGGCAGTTTATAGTCTGGTGTTTTAGTACGGTCTGGTGGTCTTAATAATAGCTTATAGTCACCTGACAGTTTTAATTTAGCAAGTTTCACTGTGATCAGTTTCATATATGAAGACTCTTCTGTGTCGAACGTTTTTGTTTCTTGCAGCTTGAACAACTAAAGGGAGATTCAGGTGAGGAAATTACAAAGCTGAGGAGAGATATAGAGAGGAGCAAAGAGGAGGCCCGGGAGCTCGCTCTGAAGGCTGACATGAGCAGGTTACAGGCTGAGGAGGAGGCCAAACAGCATATTCTTAGACTGTCAGAACAACTGGAGGAAATGCACAAGAGGCAAGAGGTGGAGGTGTGTAGCAATCTCTCTAAGGAAATTTAAGCCATCAAAAACCTTGTACATATTGATTCGAGTGACTGCAGCTAAAGGTTCTGCATCCAAGAACTCATGTCAGCAGGCACCTGCTCTGCTGAAGTATTCCTAAGCAGAATACTGAGCACAGTGACCATTCACTCTGACCTTCCTCAGGAGGGAAGCAAGTGAAAGGAGAACCTATGTTTTGGGATCAATACAAAATTCTATGATTATTTGTACATGAAATAAAATGTCCATTGTTTCACTCCCTTTACTTTCAGCTGCAACAGTTGACTGCTTCCCACTGTGCAGAATTGGGTGAAGCAAGAAAAACAAACGGTGAACTACAGGACGGACTTCAATCAATGACCTCAGAAGTGCTGCAGCTAAAAAGCACTCTGATGGAGGTATCTACACAGAGAGATGGCCTGAAAGAACATTTAAGGTGCCACATTCAATCCAAAGCTGAAGAGAGCTAAACATCTATAGCACTTTGTAGTCAGATTCACTGATTTTTTTTTTTGCGGGGGATGTTGTTTATTTTTCAGCCAAATGGGACAAGCTTTTGAGACACAATCAGCAACACTGCACAGCCTCAGAAATTACATCGGCCAGCTCGCCCCAGAGAAAGGAGAGAAGGAACGATTAAATGACGCTGTTGAGGTAAAGACAGTATAAACAGTATTGATTGCAATCAGCCTACTGTAAAGTAATTGCACGGAAAAAAACTTAAAATCTTGTTCTTTTTAGCAGTTTAAAGAAATAATTGTGATGCAAATGAATGTTTAATTTATGAATTAACATGTACGTATACCTTTTTATTTGAATATTATCAAATATTTTGTAGAGGCTGAACAAAGAGAAAGCAGCTCTTCAGATGACCAACGAGCTCTTGACAGTGAGGTTGAACTCTGTGAATGAGATACTCACCCTACAAGAAGAGAAAATGGTGAAGAAGGTGAGTGTTTGTTCTTCCCATAGCAGTGCCCGATACAAAGATACACTGATAACACATGATGAGTAGTAGCACTGCTGCTTGCAGGCCGAGCCACTGCTAACCTTTACAGACCAAAAGCTAACTATCATTGTATGTTGTAGGGTTGACATTGTAATGTTTTCAAGTCTAGTCATATGTCAAAAGTCTGAAAAAAAGTTTAAATGCAGTTCATGGATCTTAAATATGCTTATTCAGAACACTGGATTTAAGATTGATGATAGAAAAGCACCAGACAGGATGGCAAAGCCCTGCAGGAGTACTTCAGTTGGCTGAACACTACATCTGAGGTGCTCCATCCAAATGTGTACATACAGTATGGCTCTGCAGGTGACAACTACTTTTAAATGTGTTTTTCTCACTTTGAAGGGCATTTTGGTTTGTTTTGAATGAATGTCAACTTGCATAAACTTAAAGGTTGCTTGAGATAAATAATGGTCACAGTTCACAACTTGTATTGTACTTGAGTTTATGTCAGAGAATACGCAGAGAGCAGAGACTGTTTGAAAACTTCTCTGGTGGTGTATTAATATAGATGTGGGAAGAAAGGAAAAAGCAATTATTTTGAAAAGCTTCAGTATGCTTTTCAAATCATCAAGGCTCATTTATAAATAATAGTTACCCACACTCAAATGGTGTGTGTGTATAATATACATGTGTATTTTTCAATAGACCTCGACAGGCCCACTTGTGAACAATGGATCTGAAGGTCTTCAAGTGCTTCAGCTCTGGAGAGAAAAAGTGTTCAAGTTATGCGTCCAGCTTCGCTCAAAAGACATTGAACTAAGAGGAGAGAAGGAAAAACTTATTTCACAAGTATGAAAACCATCATCTGTTAGTTTATACCACAATACAATCAGACCCAATGTGTTTTAGGTCTCTTTAATGTGTGGTACTGTATTGGTCTGTATTTCAGGTCAGATCCATGGAGCAGCAGCTCCAGCAGGAGCAGCACCAGGCCAGTGTGCTCCAACACAGTCTAGATGACAGGGTAGCTGAGCTGGACCTGGAGAGAGTGGAAAAGGAGGTTAGTACCAGAGCAAGTGATGTGATTTACGTGGCTGTCTGAAAACTTGATGATGCACAATAAATTTGGGGCTGCTTAGGATAGTGATAAACGCTCGTACATTTGTACCACAGCACAAATTGCTGACTATATGAAAACTTGGCTAGGTTTTGGTAGTGGCTGAGGTCTTAAGAACAGCAGCTGGGCACGAAGACATTCATAAAACTGAGCGTCACAGTAGATTTGTGTAAGATACTCTATTATATGGATGTGTGCTTGTCTTCGCAGACATTGAAACAAGATTTGGTCCAGGCTCACAAGGAAAGCTCGCAGCTGAAGTCGCAGAATCAAAAAGCAGAGGCTGGATGTAAAACCCTTACAGAAGCAGTGCACAGGTAAAATAAATGTATCTGAGTTCAAAAATGAGAAGAGTAGGTAACACAAATTTTAAAACTGAATGAAAAAGCAAAACAATTGTTCAATGTTAAAATTATACTCTTCACAGTTAGTGCTGCTTTTTCACACATTTTGTGTTTCACAGGTTCAGTCTGGCATTTGAGAGCAAGGTGGCAGAAGTGGATGCAGCTCAAACAAGGCTCAACACTTTAACCCAGAGGCTAACCTTTGCTAAACGACGAGTGGAGACAATCCAAGGTGCGATTATAATGGAGCTCAATATGCTGTTTGCAGTGCTTCAGTTTGAATTGCATGTGTCTGGTAAAGAAAAGACATCACAATGTTTTTTTTGTTTTTTTTCAGGTTTGATTATGAGGAGGGTGGCTCTGCAGAAAGTTCATCAGGCCAGTAAACAGGCAGAACAGGCTGCTGACAAGTATGTTTCACATTCTTTACACCCAACCAAACACACAAACAATCTAATTTAGTTTAACCAACCTGGGTACAAGTGAGCCTGTGTCTCGTTTTACTGACAGTTGTATCAACCATTGTGTGAAAAGTAGCTCTCTAAGGACACGCATGAGACTAAACGTAAAGAATTTATAAATGGCTGAAGATACAGCACCAACATGCTGTATCTGCAAAAATGCTTCTGTTAACTCACACATATATTCAAATTCAAATATTTGTCCTTTGGAAGAAGTTTTATAATCAGGGGCCACACTGTGCCTGTGGCTAACTGCCAATTATTTTTTTTAATTAATTGATCACAATCATTTACACCGTAATGACAAAACTAATGCCAAAATGCACATTGCAATAATTCTGGATCCCAAAGTGAGGCCTTAAAAGTGCTTACTTATTTTGACCAAGAGCTTCCAAATCTAAAATATTGAATTTTTAATATGAATTGAAGAAAGTCAAACATCTCTTTTGCATTTCATGAGCCGTAAACAACAGATGTTTTTACCGGTTAAGTGATTAAATGCATCATTACTGGTAAAATTTTAAGTATTCATTAAATCCATCAACTCTTTCAGTACTAATTCACAGAATTAGTAGCCTAATTTAAACGACTATTAAAAGCTTAATGTTGTTAGAAATGATATATTGTTTTACAGAATATGTATAAATGCAGCTTCGGTTTTGAAATAGGGATAGATAATAAGGTTTGAATTAATATTGCAATATTAATAAGGACATGTTTCTGATATACTGTGTCAGTCTATCACAATATAACAAGTGTATACAGACTCAGTATTTTTAGTCTACATGTTAAAACATTTGTTTTCTGCCTGTTTAGAGTTTGGCTTGCTTTGTTATGCACTGTGTAGTTTCTTCACTACCTCTCTGCTTGACTCTGCTCCTTTATTTGCTCTGCCATCTTGTCTGTGTTGCCCTGCAGCATCACAAAGCTCCAGACAGAGCTCAGTTTGGTGTGTGAAGAGAGAGACAAGCTCACACAGGAGCTGAAAAGAACCCCAGAGCTCATCGAGAAAGCACTGGCTGATCTGAAAGAACAGTGTGAGCATTCTTACAACTGACCTCGTTATAATACATTATCTGTTAATCTGTCGGGTATTCATGTTTTGCCATTGTATGTGTCTCAGTTTACCTTTTTGTACATCCTCTTCAGATGAGGGAAAATTGAGGCAGCAGCAGCAGGAACAGGAGCAGTCCTGGATGGAGGTCCGGCAGGCTGTGTCTGGCAGAGAGGAGGCCGACAAGGGCCTGCAGCAGATCCAGGCCCAGCTGGAGGAGAGCAAAGTCAACCTGGAGAAACTCCGCTCTGAACTGCTCAGCCAGCAGGAGGAGAGCGAGCGTGGTGAGGCAGCGGCTGCAGCATGACTGTTTTTCAACCTTGACTTATCCAGGGAATGCAGACTGAATACTCCTGCTCTTTTTCAGAAATGCCCTTCATCACAGTCCCCACATATTCACACCTGGCCACTCCTTTCTGCTCGGTAGCTTCATCGGAGCAGTTGGGGATTAAGTGACACGCTCAAGAGCACCTTGACTGTAGTTGTTCTGGGAGAGTTACTGACTTTCACTAATACGTTTTTAGCCACTTAGGAAACATCTTAGCTTTAAACCTGCATTAAAGCATAGAGTCACAGGGGCACTTGTTTATAGATTGTTTATTGTTGGAAACACAACATTGACATATTGCCTTTTTGAAGTTGATATGGCAAACTTGTTAGCAAACAGTTGCCTATTTACACATCCATCAGTTTTGTAGTCCAGTATTCTCCTTTTAGCTCTGCTTTGCTTTCCACACAATCCTGATGCAAATATCAGGCTCTTAGCTGCTAAATGCTCCACTGTCTTCACCAGCTAGTCATTAACTCTTTCTATTTGGCATTTGGTGCTGGGCACTGAAAACAGCCGCCTGCTGCAGCCGAAAGCAACGCAGAGTCAGATGATAACTTTCTCTGTAGTTTTATCACTGTGAACAACTCCTTTCATATACATGTGTTCATGTGATCCATTGGTAATATAAAATTGATCACTTTAATGAGACAACAAATCCGCACTGTTGGATTTAATTTTCTTTTTAAATACCAGCTCTTACATTGCTTCAGTGCAAATTCCTCTGCCTTTACTGAAACAAAAGCTCAACAAATGTTTGCCACTGGCTATCATTTAAAAACTAAGTAGAAGTGCTTTTTTCTGACCTTCAGGCTACTGCCACCTTACTGTGTCGCTACCGTGATTGCATCGTAATTAATAAATCTCCAATTGATTCAATCAGCTACTTGTTTATGGTCTTGGTGTCTATGAAAATTCTCTAACTGATGCAATAAAATCCAGTTCATCCCCTGAGGTACAAATACAGCATTAGACTGTTTCTGATGGTGTGAGAGACTGTATTGAGGAGTGATGAACTTGTTGTTCCCCTTCAGCCCTGCAGGAGAGAGTGTCTGAGATCAAGGACCGCTGTGCTGAGAAGCTGAGAGAGATGGAGGTTCAAGTCAATACTGCCAAGAGAGAGCACACCAAAGCAGGTAGCAGGATTAGCACCATGCTACAGTTCACAGCAGCTTAACATAGGGGGCTGAAGTCATATCTGTAGTGCAGCCTGTGATATAATATGATTGGAATTGTTCACACAGTATATAGCAACATTTCCCAGTGGTTTTGATCTGTCTTTATTGTCTCTTGCAGTTATGACTTTGCGGCAGTTTGAGAGAGAAGCAGCAAGGAAACAGGGTGAGATGAGAGAAACTCAACATTTGGGGAGCAAACACACAAAGAAGGAAGTCCAGAATAAACAACTGAAGGAGACGGAGAAAGACAAAAACCTACTGCTGGTAAGACTTGTGAAAGCCAAAGACGATGTCTTCATTTCTGTCGATGGCCTCCTATGACCTGGATCTGTTGCAGGCTGTTGCTGAGAGGGGGCTGATGAGTGAGTATACAACAGCTCACACAACCGCTCTACAAAACTCTGCTGCTCCCAGGGAACACTGGGAAAAATCTTCAGAGAGGAGTCGCAGTGCAGTAGCAAACGTCCAACTACCTGCAGGTGGTGAGTAGTGTCCTAACTCCTCACGCATCAGACACTTTTTGTTAAGTCCTAACATTTACACAGACATGACTGATCTGACCAATGGCCTGTCTGTATCCTGTCAGAGAGACTCCTGTCTGTTTTGGAGGAGCTCCACACTCTCAGTGCTGCAGTGGTAAACAGCTCTGAGGACTCTGCGGAGGAGGAGGGACAGAGTGACAGCGTGGGACCATCCACAGGCAGCTTGCACAGCTGATACCTGATGATGATTCACTGGAGACGGAGAACACACCTTTAATTTGTACAAAAGGTGGGCAGTGTTCAAGCTTTAAGGAGCCAAAAAAAAAATACAGCCAGTGGAAAGAATTAGTTTGAGCCAAATATCAGAAAACCATGCCTATTGCTACTGGCTGTATAAGGAGAAGAATAGCTATTAAGTGGAGACACAGTATACTTACATTTAAATTATTTCAATACATCTTGTGCGTCTGTCTGCAGGATGATCAACATTTCAATCAACATTTTGTGCTGTACAAATATTTGGAAAATCTACTCAACAAGCAAGCTAAGCTAAATAACCTCCCCAGTAACACTATGTTCCACACTTTCATTTCTTTTGCTTATTTTAAATTATATTTGGCTTTAAACTTGGCCCCAGAATAGATTGAATTGTGCCCACTGAATTATCGAAATGCTTTAAAGTTTAAAATCACACTTTGCCAATCTTTATATTCAGAGATAGAAGATATATTACAGATAAAAGAGTTTGTGTTTATAAAAAATAACTGAACATATGGTGATGACTTTAATAAATGCAATCTGTCAGATAAAAATACAGCTGGCATAGCGCTCGTGAATGAAAGTCTGTTCTGTTGACTTTGATCCTACAAGTTTATGTGATGGTCCAAGTATTTCTTTTTTATGAGGAAACGTCTTTCTTTATTTTCAATAAAGTATTTTTATATTGCAATTCTGTGGTGTTCAGCAGCATTTTGGGAAATATCGATAAAGCAATTTATGATTTGATATGAATCTCAATTCACTGCTCAGTGAACACTAAGCAACTTTTTAAATAACGGTAGATTATTGAAATTTAAATAACAAATACAGGAGTTTCTGAGGTTTATAGTTAGCTGAGAAGGTTGACTTTGTTATGGTAAAGAAGGTTTTAATGTGACTGGTTTCTCTTAATATTACATAGGGACAGTTGGGAGAACTTATATAATTTCATATTGGAAAAAAATCAATATTTTCAATTTGAAGTTCCTTTTATAGAGGTCAGTTTTAGAATGACGTAATCATGAGATGGATGATGATAAACCTCATGATAAACCAGATAATTGTGCTATTTGTCATGTTGTCATAAGTGCTAATAAATTTTGCAATAGTTGGAAGTTTCAAGCCTCTAGGTAAAACCATCTCATGGAGAACTGAGGGAGAGCAGAGTGAAAATACTAATAAAGTCTAGACTTCCCTACTCTTTTTTTTCTAAAAGCATCAAAAATAATTTGCAGGTACACACTCATAGCTGGAAAAGGTGATTCATCATGGCAAGCAGAGGATGAGTGCATCAAATTAATTAAAAAATAATAATATTGGATTTCAGCAGTGTGCTCTTACTGCTTCAGAGTCTGCAAATCAGCATGTTAACAGTTTGCCCGTAACATTTGAATTTGTATAGTAAGCCTCTGATACAAAAATCTGTGTGATCGATGACAAACTGAAGGAATCATATATGGTCTGAACATACATGCATCATCCTGATCATTTTAAGGTAATGTGCCATCTTTGATCATCAGTCTTTTTGCGTGATGCACTTTAGATATCACACCATGCATTAACATCATACATTTGTGGCAGGAACAGTATCATATGAATATTACTGTAAACATTAATAATTCATGTCCATGAAATTATGTCATGGTAGCAAATGTTTGAGTAGGCCTACTACAAGAATCAGTATTAAAAGCAAATCATGAGTCCTTATGTGCAGTTCAAAACCAGCAGAGGGCGATGTTGTCAAAGGTGAGAGCAGCACATACAGGGATTTCAAGCATCATTTTGGGCTGTACAAGAACAGTATCATTTCTAAAGGTTGTTGTTTCTTACCTGAAACTTTAAATTATCTTGTGAGTGAGGCTGGTTAAGTGCAGAAAGAATGTCTTATCTCTCAATATTTCACTTAATTCTTGAATCAACCTGAACAGAAAACCTTCCTGAACCACTTAATCCTTTAGTATGTTTTTCCACAAATGGCAAACAAACAAGAGAACAGGATTCTGGTGGAAAAACTCTGAAACATCTTGCTCTGTACCATCAATGTGCAAAAAAATAAATGTTACAATATACGGCCCGAATATAAGCATTTATACAGAGCCTTTGCCTCAGCAGTGTGGAGAGAACAGCCAGACCGTGGTTAACTGATGAATAATTTAGGAGAGCATTGCAATCCAGACAAGATGTGAAATAAATGAGGTAATAAAAACCGATCAATGAGCTCCAGACAGATTTTTATTAACAATTCAGAATTAATGACATGTAAAATTAGTGGTTCAAACAAACAAGTGCTATCCCAGTGTGTTTATACATATCTGACTCCAAGCAGCACTGGAGCTGAAAATGTGTGTACTTGAAGAAGCTTGACATTTCAGGCAAGAGTATCATGAGCAGATCAATAACTGATTTTCTTAGAAAAATACATTTAATATATGCAATTCTTTATTTTTGCTGTAACATCACTACTGACATTAAACCAGTTCTGTGACTCTGGCTTTGCTTACTGCTGTTTCTTTATCGATATATAAAGTACTGTGCTTGTGTATGAACCCTCCTCCCTCTGGTTCTGAGGCTGATACTGTGCTGTCAGAGTGCAGCGCTACAAATCAGAACATCTGCTGTCATCGGCCCTGCTTGTCATCAAGTGTCTGCGTCAAACCATCAGTCTCATAACTTCGTTTTCTGGTATAAACAAAATGCCCAAACCTGCAAGTTCTTCCTACTGTTTTGATGTTGTGGAAGAAATTTTGCCTATTTTCTCCACAATATTGGTTTATTTTCAAGAAATGATTAATGGCCTTATTATCGCTAAACCTTGTATCAGATATTTACACAAAAACAAGTAGAAACCAGTTCTTACAAATGCCTTGAGATTTGAAAATGAGTGCTGTGTTGTCCACTACATTGAGAGATGTCTCAAAAAGGTCAGATGCTCTTTGCAAAAATTCACCATCCGGATGACCAGCTTCCTATTGCGAGATTACCCTTTGCTGTCAGGTTATCTACCTGTGCTCCTCACTCAACAAACCTTGTTTCCTGCATTGCTAACTGGCCATAGCCAAAGTCAAACTTCATATGTCTGAAGTGTTGCGAAATTGTCTGCCTGCGAACCGTTCTGTCACACTTTGCCAAATGTCCCCAAAGTCGAGTCCTCTTGGGGCCAGTCCTCATTCAAGTTTGCACCAGCCAGTGACTGGAATATGCCACAAAAATCCCTGAAACTGGTAAATTTTTACCACTGTTTATTCTCTAAAGGACATTATAGCTGTTCCTCAGTATGCTATTTAGAACATAATCTCACCCCTAACATATAATAATAATAATAATAATAATAATAATAATAATAATAATAATAATAATAATAATAATTTAAGTTAATAAATGTTAGCACCACAGAACACTAACTCCTGTGCAGTTGTTTTTAGATGATGATGAGATTAGAGGATTACAAGCTAGAAACATCAGATGATAGAAGATAACATTTTGTGTTCTGAACTGTTTTAAACAAACGTTTGTCACACTGTGCCCTGGCTCATGAGGCCTAGCCTACATCTTTGCAAAGTTCTTGCAGACCGGAGGTCAGAGCAAACTTGAAGCGGTGCGTGAGGTTGATGTGATCCAGTAAGTCAGGGGTGTCGACCACCAGTGCTGCATGCATCAGAGCCTGGTGGATGGCTGTGCACTGCTGTGGCAGGCCACGCTACAGGGTAGAGCATCAGCCACGGAGGAGCAGTAAGAGGAAAGGCAGCCAAGTAACCCTATTTATAGATGCAGGCAATGTGGGGCATTGTTTGGGGGGTTGCAGTGGAGTGAACTGTCAAATCTTCAAACTACAGCAACGCTTTATGCTATTTCCTCTGGTAGGCGTAAATAAGTCCGAATTTTCTTATATAACTAAGAGCATCACGTTCTGACATTTATCGGAGAAGGAAACTAGAAAAGCTTAACAGATATAGTCTACCTTTCTGTTCTGTACAGCCATTATACATTACAATAAAGCACCTTCTGAGTTTTCATCCACATTGTTTAACGTTTCAGATGAAAAATCAAATCAAAAAGAGCTAGAAGCCAGACCTCTTTTACCAAAAATGTTGGAGCGTGATATTTGACATATGGTTTCTTTTCGAAACAGCAAACGTCGCCATCCATGCATGATGAAGTCTCCACCTGTGCCAATCAGTCACCTCGTTTGGAGCTGTAATTGCAGTTTCCCTTTGGGATGATCAGCGTAATTTGGAATGCAGCAGTTGAAATGTTGATGGTGTTTACTAGACGCATGAATGAATGAACAAATGTTGTAAAGGAGGCTTCTCACCTTTTTATTACCACACTGTGATAAACAAAAAGGCTCTTGGCCTCAGGGTGGGAAGCCTCCAGCCAAATGCTGGTAAAATATGAAAGTGGCTGGTAGATTTCAGATAGAAAACAATGATTTACTATTCAGTGGCAGGTGAATCTGAACATTGGCTGGCAGATATTCACATTTTAAAAAGTTAATACTCTACCCTGCTTGGCCTGCATGTTTTACCTGTTCTAAAAACTAAAATCTAAAATGTAATCAGGCAAAGGTAGTGGACTCACTTTACTGAAGTCATGATTAATGACACTTTTGCTGGGGTGGACTCACTTTATTAAAATGATTAGTGACTCATTTGGAAGGAGCAGTGTAGTTATATGCAAGTCACTGTGGGTGCGAACTAAGCTAATCAACATATGTCAAGAGCAACACCTGCACAGGGACTGTAAGTGTTCTTAAAGGCCCAGTGTGTAGGATTTAGTGGCATTTACTGGTGCAGTTGCAGATTGCAACTCACTCACTCTATCCTACCTTTCTTAGCGCAAGGGAGAAACTACAGTGGCTGCAAAACGTGAACGCGAAAGTCCCTATCTAGAGCCAGTTTTTGGTTTGTCATACTGTAGAAACATACTGGTTAAACATGGTGGCCTCCACAGAAGATAAAAACGGCTCATTCTAAGGTAACAAAAATATAATTATTCTTATTTTCAGGTGATTATACACTAATGAAAACATACCTATGAATATAATACTACATTTCTGCCAATGGATCCTCCTAAATGTTACACACTGGACCTTTAAACAATTACCTGCCAAGGTTTCAATCCAGACCTTGATCTTGAAGCCCACCTGAAAGATGATCTTATAAAATAAATGGTGTGAATCCCTAAATCTAAATCTAAATGTTATTTGTATGTTTAAGTTGCAACCAGCATCATACCTTGCCTTTAATTCTCCAGGCAACAGTATCTTAACATCAGTGTCACAGATGCCTACGGTTCACCATCTCTGTTTTTATTTATATTATTTAATGTTCTTATATATATACTGCAATTCTTCCTGGGCATCTAATATGCATTTAAAAACCATTAGAGGTCTCCTGTTTCTTCGTATTTGTGTCTTTTTGGCAGCAAACATGCATTCAAAAGTCTTTGCTGTTGGATGAATTGGCAAAGCAATAGGACTGGGATCAGACCTCTACTGGATTCACTTGCATAGCAGAGGGGGGGGGACTGCAGCACTCTCGAGTCATATTCATAATTTGTTTTCCTAAAATTGTAATCAAATATTTGACCTAACACTGAAACGTCACATTATCACATGGAATATCCTGCTTAAGTTTATTGTTTTGTCAAATATGGAGGATATCACTGGAAAGTCAGCCAAAGGGGAGAAATTCTAATGTTGGTTCTGCCCTTTGAAACATCTGTTGTTGAGATCTCATCAGGCTGACAAAGACACAAGGAATGAAAGAAAACAGAACATCGATAATTAAAACTGCCTGGCTAATTTGTTTTGTTCTGTAAGCGCTTTGCCTGTGGGACATTCAGTTAAAGACGTGGGAATGTTTAATCAAATCTCCATTAATATTCATCTGTGCTGCTGCACCTTAGCTCCCTCTGGTTACCAGCACGCTGTTCAAATAAGACTTCCTAATTACCAGATTTTCAGACTTTTATTTCATCATTTTCTCCATTCGCGAGCAATCTGTTCTACAAAATATAATTTAGATTTTGTTGCTGCTCTTTCTTTACTCTCAGACATTTTGTTTGAGAGGATCGTCATGTGACACTTTAATTACACGCTCAGTTTAGTAATGGACAAGTGGACTTTTCCCCCCACTGGAATAGACTCTTTTCATTTATGTATTATCACTGTTGTTCATCATGCCAAGAAGAAAAGAAGAAAATAAATAGTGGTGTGCTGAAGCAATTCTGCCATCTGCAAACAATAAATACCTTTCAGTTTTGTACTTAAAGAAAGGAGCCTAATGATACAAGGCACTGTGATTCATTCCTCTACATAAAAACATTGCCTTGAGCTTCCCTTCTTTCAACAGATATGCTAATGCTCATGCTGGTATAAGGACATATAAAGTGGAAGATAAACTCACTGAAACTCATTTTACAAACATCTATGAGATTAAAGACTCAGGACTCACTCACAGACAGAACGTCACAACAGGAAATATTAAACTGTATGTTATATGAAAACATGTGGTAGGTTCTTTTAGGGAATGATTTTGGTGATGTAACAGTTTGTGTATCAATATTTGTCATTTTTTGTTTTGTTTGTATTTTGTTCATAAGTGATGTTTAATGAAATTGTATCATAGAACAGATACAAACCCAGGAAGTGAAACTCTCCAAGCATCAATATGTGATTGCTGTGCCAACACTTAGGGAGAGTAGCTAACAAGCTTGTGTTGCTACAATTAGAGCTGCAACAATTAGTCGACTATTCCGTTTGTTGATTGACAGAAAATACATTTAGATAATTAAGTAATGATTTTTATAAGCAGAAAAGACCGACATTAGCTGGTTTCAGCTTCTCAAATGTGAGGATGCAACGCTTTTATTCGTCACACATGATAGTAAACTGAAAAACTGTTATTAAATTACTAAATCTGATAAGGTCACCGTGGGCTGTGGGAAATGATAATGTGCAATTTTCTGACATTTATAGATATAATCAGCAGATTGATAGCATGTTGGAGAGCATGTCCAACACTCGGGACATCACGCATCAGCATCTGACAGGGACCTGGAGTGAATCCATGTCCTCAGCAAAGTGTGGAGTGATAATTTGCTATTTTTTGGCAACTTTATTGAAAAGTTATACATAAATACAGTGTCTCATCCAAATACATGTTCAGCCCTAAGTGCCTTTTTATATGCAACACAAGCTGCGACTGCAGCTTTGAGTCTGTATCAGCTCGGTGCATTTCAAGTGTGGGATTTTGCCCCGTTATTCATCGCAGATCTGCTCAGGCTTAGTGAAGACGGATGAGGAGTGACTGTGATCAGCTACGGTATCTCTTCAGTTGTCCCTGGTTTTCAGTGACGGTCGTATCAGAGCT